CCGGTACGTCCGAAAGACGACCATCCTCATGTACTTTGAAGCAGGCTCTGGTTCGTAAGGATATCAGTGTTGCGCCTCATGCACTTTGAAGCAGGCTAGAGACACTTGGCCAGATCGGTTGCTGCGCCTCATGCACTTTGAAGCAGGCTAGACGCATCGGGCCGTGAATATTGTCGACTCGAGTCGTAATAAATAATAAATCGGGCGATTGCCAGTGTGCCAGTGTGGGCCAGTGGGCCGGAAAATGCATATGACATGCTGACGACATTTGCATGCATAAGAATGCATGGATTAGCGTGCGAGTGTGTGAGACTTGGTGCAGGAGCATGTGTTTGGCATACGTGTGACTATGTGTGCCACGTATGTGCCGTGATTATTAGATGTTGAACTATCTAACCTGCAGGGTCAGAGACTTGTGTTATCATTGTTGTGTTATACTTTGAGTGTTTATTTCCGGTCAGGAGATTGCATGCTAGCCTAGCCTAGGTTTATGGGTTGAACTCACTGAGATTCGTCTCACGGTTGTGTAAACCGAAACATTTCAGACCCCCAACCGTAGAATGCCGAGGTCACCACCTCTTTCTGGGATACCGCATCGCATTCAGCGGTCGTTGAGCATGCACCCCTGTGGAGACGGAGCAGCAGATATGGAGTCAGAGGAGCAGTCGGATGAATCCTCGAAATCCTCAGATCCTGACTGGGATCCCTAAGAGCCCCCTAGCCACTTACCCTTTTGACTCAGTGGCTGTTGACTATTTGTACTGCTCGCTTTTGTTGTTTGATGGGTATTGTAAAAAGGTTTTCTATAGTAATGTAAGTATGTACCTATTTTCTGCTGTGATCGTGTTTATTGCTTGGCTATCCTTGGCTCGTATTTTATAATTGTCAGGGTTGTTTATTTAATTGCTTCCGCTTGTGCTTGTTCTCTGTTGGGCGTTGGGTCGGCGACGTTTCCTGGGACGTCGCACTGCAATCGACCAAGGTAGGGATGTTAACGCTTCGTAGGGTACGGGGCGTGACATCCACGAGGTTAAAAGGGTCGAACAATAGTTCCTTTGTAGAGAATTGCCAACTTCCAAAATCCTATAATCACTCACTAGCATTTCACCTTGACCAAAGTTGATAGGGTTTGATCTTTAAACGAAAAGAGAAATATTAATAAGAACTCTCACACTTACTTTGTGAAACGTTTTTGGTGACATTGTGAATAGTTCTTAATCGGTCCCCTTGCAGAAATTACATGCACATGTTTTGCTCAAATAAATCTTCAATTCCCTTACCTTTTCCTTTTCTTGTTTTCACCTAGCGAATTAGTTAATTGTCAAGAGATGGTGATAGAAGTTTTGATCCGTCACCGAAGATGTCGAGGTAAACATAGAATAACTAAGCTAAACACATCCATATGTAATAATATTAGACCTCGCCCAGGTCAATCACATAAACCCTTACATAGTCACACACACCCCTTCAAATGGTTATATGGGAATAAAACAAAAGTCTCTATCTCGCATTCGATTACTAGAACAACAACATTAGGTCTCAGATAAGCAAACTGGGAAAACACAAAGATAACATTTTGAGAAGCAACTACAATGCAAGGGTCTTTTATTACCTACTAGGGTATTTATGAATTTAGAATTAGCCACTTCGGTGAGCCATCATCTCGAGAAAGTCCAGCTCCTTAATCTCCTGACGTCGATGGTCATTATGGTGTTGATGGCGACGGTGGTGGTGGCGATCACCATCCATCTCCAAGCTCATCTCCAAGTCCAACTCAGGTTCACCATCAAATCTCTCTTCACTCCCATTACCACCGTCTTCACTGAGCACCTGATGATAATGATGGTCATTCACCTGATAAAGCCCAAGATTCCCATTCCCATTCCCATCAACCATCGGAAAACCAAAGTAACTGCTGTCTGGCCTCTGAGCAGGTGGTAGCGGCGGCTGGTGGTGGTGGCGGTGATCCGGCGCCTGCTGGGGGCGGTTGGTCGCTCCAGGCTGCATGTCCGAGCCACGGGAAATGGCTGCCGCCGACAAAGACAACGATAGCTTCTTGGTCTGGTGGTGATAGTGCTCGCGACCACAAGTCGGTGCCGACTGTTTCGGACAAGATGGAGTGGTGACACTCCTGATATAATTTTGCAGGAGGTTGGAGTTGTTGTAGGAAAGTAAGTCGCGCTTAGAGAATTACATGCGCTTGGTAGCATTCCAGTGGTTCTTAATTGTGTTTTCAGTCCTTCCAAGCAATCTCTTGGCTATCTCGGCCCATTTGTTCCCAATCTGTTTGTGTGCCTGAATCAGGATCTTGTCTTCTTCGATGCTCCACGAGTCCTTCTGCTAAGAAAATGATGAGAACCCAACGAAGAAGAAATAGAAGAAAAAAAGAGGAGAAGAGATAGAAAAACTTATTCTAGGGTTTTGTGAGTTTGGGTCTTTGGCGAAGTCCTTAATTTTATAGTGGATCAAGATTACACTTCATTAAGACAATCAATAGTAATTTGATTTTCAATTTTAATTGATCAAATAGATTACAATATGTGTATTTACATGCAAGTGTAAAATGTTTATTTTTATATATAAAGGTGAAGTTTCTTTGAGGGAAAAAACGAGGAAAATTCATAATGAATGCATTTACACCCTTTTAATATAATTATGGATCTTATTCATGTAAGGCTTAATTGTGATATATTCCTAATTTTTTGGGGTGATTTAATAGGTATATGTTGTGTGTTAAATGGAAGAATTTGGAGTTCATGAAATGGATTTAACCTTTTGTTTTGTTCTTAATTAGCTGCTGAGCTAAGGCATGGAAGTGCATGAAGGGTTCATGCAATTTGGTCACCACTGGAAGTTAGAAAAAAACAACATTTATGATTAATAAGAATCAAAGCATCTTTTGGGATTTTTACAGCCCTGCTTATAAGCTTATAAGGTATGGTTTCCGAAAAATCCGATCCGCATGGGCACTTGTCGCCATGCATGCTTGTGAGTTGTTGCATATGGACTAAACGACGTAGGATAAGTAGCGTATTGGCAAACTTGAAGAAGTAAGTCAGCCAAAAACTTAATAACGACAAAAAAAAAGGGATAGAGTCACGAGTTCCACACACTAGACGACACGCGTCGGTAAAGATAAGGAAATAAAGTCATATCTCCGTGGAAAGGTAATAAAAGAAATACATATACTCAATAATGGTGTGTATGAATGGTGTGATTATGGCATGAATTTATGATAAATCATGATGGAAAATCACAATGAGTGTTGAATGCTCATGTCCTTTAATCTATATGCATATCATATATCCATCTCTAGATATACTTCCCATGTATGCAATTCACTTATCAAATCTAACTGCGATTCTTTTTATGAATACAAGACTAAATGAGTAGGATGGTCAATGTAAATTCATATAATGGAAGGTATAATGGAGGTAGAGTCTAAAGTAAGAACAAATTATGGACAAGAAAAAACAAATTTTTAAAGGAAAAATGGGGAAAAAAACCTTGATATCAGGCCTAAGATGGTTATGCCATCTCCCTACATTGTTTTCCAACTCTTCCGTCGAGCATCTAGGCAATTTGAGCTCACCTTTTCGTTCTATGCATCTCAACCAACATCGTCAAGCGACTGCAGAAAAGAGAGGACAGAGAGTTGCGTTTAAGGCTTCGTTTGTTTTGCACAAAATAAATTATTCGGAAAATATTTTCCTAAAAATAGTCATTTGTATCACTCGAAATAATTTGCCAATCAAATTATTTTCATTATCGACAACAATTTATGTCTAAGCATTTTCGTGGATAGTGAAATATTTTTCATTAATTCATTTTTGTAAGCAATATAAATGATCAATTTTAGGAAAATATTTTTCATTATTCATTTTCTGTGAAACAAACGGAGCCTAAATGAGAAAGTGAAGGATTACTGGATAGGTTTGACAGAATGGGGAAATGTTTAAGACTAATTAGCATTCCAGAAGTACATAAATATTGCAATATGAAAAGAACCAAAGAGGAGGATTGAATGCTGGATTTCTTTCCGAAATTAGGGACCTCTTCAAAAGCTAATGAGTCATTAATGTTTGACTCTTTTATGCAAAAAGCGAGAGAAAAGAGACATATGGGATGACTTCCCCCTCTTATGTTTGATCAAATAAAAGGAATGCATTGAATATCGAAGAATAATTCAAGTACTAAATTGAACAAGTCAAAACGGTAAAAATGACATTGCACATTTGGATCGAAATTTATGGGCTACCAATATCATTTCATATATGATAAATGTTCTTTTCTTGGTCGTACGATGCGACTTCTAATACTGCAAAGAAGTTCGCCATGATTCTTCCAAGTTTCAAACTGCTGAAAACTTTTAGCATTGCATCAATGAAACTCATGCAAAGTGCCATGGCATATTTGGTGTTCGACAAAGGGCTAAAATCAGGATAAACTCCTCAATAGAGATCCTGTCCTTTTGCGGTTCATGTTGCGAAAAATAAGGAGCAAAGCCTAATGCCATGACATCATAGCTAACGCCAAAGCACTAAATATTTCATAACTGGTTAAACGTTATGGTTCAGATATCGCGTGGATAATCGGCAAATATCAATTCATATGGAAAAGAAAAATTGAATGACCCTCAATTCTTTTTTCTTCTAAATCAGCTAGGGTCGCCATGTTCGCTAAATCAAAAGGTCGCGAATGAGATAACTCTTCGGACGCTTTAGTTATTGTAAGCCATAGATTGAAAAGCGGAGGAAGACCCTTTAACCCACTCGGTGCCTCCATTTTTTCTCAATAAGGATTGATGTTTGGGATGAATGTAGCACCAGATAAAAGACAGCAATGGAGAGGCGAAGGATCCCTTACAATAAAAATTCATAACCGATACAGCATGTAGGTTTCAGCAGCACTGAGAATTAGAGTTTTCGGTTTCATGCAAAAAGTAGCAAACGGCAATCACAAACAATATAATATTCCCCACCCAATCACCGAATGGAGACTTTCAGCTCAAGCCACAGCAGTTCCAAAACCGCAAAACCGCTTAAAAAGAACATCGCATCTAGTATAATTTCTAGTGAAGTGCTTCATTTGCCATAATTCAGTTAAGCATTTTGCATTGGAATCCCCCTGCAGGTACTACAATGCAGCATTCACAAAAATCGTTCCATCCACTGCGGACAAAGATGCAAAGAAAACCATTTCTAGGAGATCATGGGTCAAGCATCTTAGATCCTGTAATTCTAGGGAAACCAAGTTTCCCTTTACGGCTTCCCCTATCTGGCCCGACCTCAGAAAGAATGAGGGGATCTTCAGCTGCACCCACTTATCTGCCTCCGTAAAACAGGAATCACGCCTTCTTCTTCTTCCCCGAGGTAAGAAGAGCGGGAACACCACCATATCCTCCATCCCATTTTGATAGAGCGTCGCCATGTGATCCCCAAAATTCCCTCGCTCGCTATCCTTCCCACGGGCAAATGAGACCTTGCACTTGGCGGACTCCATGAACCCTCTCTTGTTTTCTCACTGTGGAAGGAAGATGCACCTGGGCGATGAGGTTAGTTTCTCTTCATCATTGCTTGGTGTAAGCTGCGGACTGGGGAACGAACCCTGTCATGTTCACACGTATCAGGCTACAGCTGTGGTCACGACTCCAGTTACTAGCACGATCAACCCAGCCACCCGATCCCTTGGGACTGCGACTTCTGAGCTCTCTCATATTCATCATGGCCATTGCTAAACCTGTTTCAATATAGGAGAAGACCTCTTAAGCATCATGATCTTCCAAATGCAGTGTATCAAATAGAAAAGAATTTCCAGCAGACAATGTTGCTGCCAACATTACCTTCACGTGACTCGGAACCGTAGCCACGACCACTACCTTTGACTGGCCTGCTTCCAACCTCCCCTTCCACCATCCCTTCCCCCATAATTAGAATCGCCACGTCCACCTCAGCCTCCATCTCTACCACCATCTCTTCCACAGCAAAAATCTTGATTCGCTTATAATGCCGAATAGAATCAATGTATAATGCCTGAGAAAGTGCTAATTAGATTTTTGATAATTCATACATTTTTCACGTTTTTTGCAGCTTTCAAATGCATATCAATCAAGTTCATTTCAAAGACAAAGAGATGGACCAGGACAAATAGACACGGTCTTAGTTGCATTGTCCAATCATTGATTTAAAAACGGATCCTTCGCAAGAAGTTTTGATCATAAAGAAAAAAGGAGAGGATCGAGATTTTCATTTAAGGCTCTGTTTGTTTCGCAAAAAATAAATTATTTGGAAAATATTTTTTTTAAAATAATCGCTTGAATAATTAGCCAATGAAATTTTTTTTACTATCGACAACAATTTATGTCAAAGTATTTTTGTGATTGATGAAAATTTTTTCATTCGTTCATTTTTGTAAGCAATATAAAAAATATAATATAGGAAAATATTTTCCATTATTCATTCAACAAAACAAACGGAGCCTAAATGAGAAAGTGGAGGGTTAGTGGATAAGTTTGAATGAACGGGAAAGTGTTTAAGACTAACTAGCATTGAGGAAGTACATAAATATTGCAATTTGTTTCATATGTTCATTTTTTTAAGCAATATAAATGATCAATTTTAGGATAATAGTTTCCAAATTATTCATTTCTTGCAAAACAAAGGGGGGCCTAAATGAGAAAGAGGTGGGTTATTGGATAGGTTTGACAGAACGGGAATGTGTTTAGGAGTAATTAGCATTGAGGAAGTACATAAATATTGCAAATATGCAAAGAACCAAAGAGGAGGATTGAATTCTGGATTTCTTTCCGAAATTAGGGACCCCTTCAAAAGCTAATGTGTCATTAATGTTTAACTCTTTTATGCAAAAAGAAAGAGAAAGGAGACACGTGGGATGACTTGCCCGTCTTATGTTTGATCAAATAAAAGGAATACATTGAATATCGAAGAATATTTCAAGTACCAAATTGAACAAGTCCAAACGGTAATGATGTTGCACATTGGGACTAAACTTTATGGGCTACCGATATCATTTTATATATAACCAAATGTTCTTTTCTTGGTCGTATGATGCGACTTCTAATACTACAAAGATTTGACATGATTCTCCTAAGTTTCAACGGCCAAAAACTTTCTACACTGCAACAATGAAACTCAATATTTGGCGCTCAACAAAGGGCTAAAATCGGGATAAACTTCTCAGCGGAGTTTTTGTCCTTTTGCGGTTCATGTTACAAAAAATAAGGAGCAAAGCCTGATGCCATAACATCATAGCTAAAGCCAAAGTACTAAATATTACGTGATGAATTAAACATTTTCGTTCAGAAATCATGTAGATATTCAGCAAAGATCAATTCATGCGAAAAAGAAAAAATGAAGGACTCCCAATGCATTTTTCCTAGATCAACTCGGGCCACCAGATTCACTACATCAAAAGGCCGCGAACGATAACCCTCCCGAGGCTTTGGTTATAGTAAGCCATAGATTTGAAAACAGAGAAAGACCCTTTAACTCGCTCTGTGCCTCCATTGTATCTCAATAAGGATTGATGGTTGGGATGAATGCAGCACCGGATAAAGACCACAATGGAGGCAGACGACCCTTCCCCTAAAATCAGTCTCAACAGTTACAACACTCTAACATTCACATTTATCACGATGACAGTGATGGTGACTCACATCTCTACCCATTGAACTGAACATTAGCCAAAACCATCAATAAAATTTCAATAACGGATACATGTAGTTTCATCAGCACTGAGAATTAGAGTCTTTGGTTTCATACAAAACGTAGCAAACGGCAAGCACAGACATTTTAATATCCCAACCCAATCATCGAATGGAGACCCTCAGCTCGAGAGCCACAGCAATTCCAAAACTGCTTAAAACAACGGGGAAGAAGAAGGGGGAAGAGAGGATGTCAAGGTTGACAAGGAACCCTTGGTCGTCAAAGGCCAGTGGAGACAGGTTAAGACTTGCAAAAAATTCCTCTTTTTTCTTGCATCTTCTTCTTCATCTATTTTTTTTCTTCTGGTTTTGAATGTTTTTCTTTTGTTATCTGGGAGCTTAATTTGTTCGTTAGGGTTTCTGAGCATTTTTTTTTTCGAAATTTGGGAGGTGATATGTGACGAAGAATCTGTATATCTTTTCTTCTTATTTTTGTGCAGGTTATTAAGGATGTTTGTTGAGATGCATGGAACGAAAAAGTGGTCTCAGATTGCCCAGATGCTAGAGGGGAGAGTCGAAAAACATGCAGGGAGAGATGGCATAAGAAGCCTAATATTAAGGTTTTTTTCCATTTGTTTTCTGATATCAGGCTTCAAATGATTATATCATCTCTTCAGGTATTGTTTTCTCTCTCCCTCCAGCATTTGAGCAATCAGAGACCACTTTTTCATTCCATAAATCTCAACAAATATAGTCAAGAGCTTGCACAAAAATCATAAGAAAAAAATATACAGATCCTTCGTCACATATTACCCCAAATTTCGGATAAAAAAAAGCACAAAAATCCTAACGAAGAAATTAAGCTCGCAGATAACGAAAAGAGAAACATTCAAAACAAGAAGAAGAAAAAATAGATGAAGAAGAAGAGGGGAATGTTTATCAAGTCTTAACCTGCCTTCCTTAAAGTCCACCGGCCTTTGACTACCAAGGGTTCCTTGTCAACCTTGCCATCCTCGCTCTCTCTCTTCTTCTTCCACGTTGTCTGCTTCTGCTGCTGCAGCGGCAGACCTATCACCACCGCTCTTGCTCCGATCATCACCACCACCGTCCCGCTCATGACCCCATTGGCAGTCCCAGCTCACGCCACCCGAAGAGAACTCCTCACCGAGCCTCTCATTCAGCGATCCAAGGTCATTCAAGTGGAGCAAAGGCATAATCTGGCGGGCCACCATTACCGGATCGTGATGACGATGGTGATCAACCGGACCATTGTCGAAGAGGCTCTTGAGCTCGACCTGGCCACACGCCGCTACGCAGTCGCTGTTGTCGCTGCTCTCCAGCGAGGTTTCCATGGACACAGGAGGAGGAGGAGGAGAGGTCAGCGGTGGCGGCTTCACGCAGAGGTCGAACCCTCTGGGGAACGTTGCGGCCAGTTGAGGATCAGGGGATGGGTAATGAAATGGCCGGTCGAGACCATCAGAGAGAAAGGGTTCTGCGAGGAGCCTTCGATTGTGAAGCCGTGGTCATAATCGAGAATGTCTGGGTTACAGCTCTGGAGGAGATTGTAGAAGAAGCCATTCACGAGGTGGAGGAGAAGTCTCGAGGTCAGGAGAGATGCCGCCCCAGGGTTTCGGGGGAAAATTTATTGGAAAATTCCCGGAAGGAAAAGGAAATCATCTTGGAAAGTGGAGGAAGAAAGGTTGAGCTCCATGCCCGAAAGGAAAGAAAAATCATCACGAGGCGGAGGAGGAGTGAATGCTGGATTTCTTTCCCTAAATTAAGAGTACCTCTTCAGAAGCTAGTATGGTATTAATGGTTAGCTCTTTTATGCAAAAATTAAGTATTCAGTCCAAAAAAAAATAATCGAAATCATTTTGAAATATAATCGAAATTCTTTATAGAATCAATGTATAATGCTTAAGGAAGGGCTAATGAGATGAGAGTGAGATGGAGAGAATTTTTATAGTTTGTACATTTTTAATTTTTTTTGGTAGCTTTCAAATGCATATTAATCAAGTTCGTTTTAAAGATAGACCGACGGACCAGGACAAACACACTATCTTAATTGCACCGTCAAATCATTGATTTCAAAAAGGAATGCCTATTTTGCAAGAATTTTTTTATCATAGATAACAGAGGAGAGGATTAGAGTTTCGTTATGAGCTCTATTTGTTTTGCAAAAAATAAATTATTTGAAAAATATTTTCCTAAAATAATATTATTGACAACAATTTATGTCGAAACATTTTCGTGAATAATAAAAAAAATCATTCATTCATTTTTATAAGAGATAAAAATATTTATTTCTATGAAAATATTTTCCAAATCATTTATTTTCCATTAAACAAATGGAGCCTAAATTAAAAAGTGGAAGGTTATTGGATAGGTTTAAAAGATCGGGAAATTGTTTAGGACTAATTAGCTTT